AATTCATTGCTACTAACTAAAGCTTTGTCCCGAATAATAAAATTATAACTACCTGGCCTTAATAAGCTACGGCGTAGCGCTACGTAGCTACGGGCAACAAGCTACGAGCCGGCCTACGCAGGCACTGTAATTGTTCAGTCCACTGCGTTCATATTGCACTATCCCACGAAGCCGCTTAGTACCCCGGCAGCTATATTCACTGGACTCCGTCAGTAACTAACTATTCTCATAGTGTATCGTATGGGAAAATTGTCTTAACAATGACCCTTTGAATTTATAAATTGAAAACTCCATTAATCCATAGCTAATATCGTATTTCGTATAAGCCTAAGATTGGTTTAAGTTACAGAACTCATACCACCAGCGTGAGACTAAAATCAGCCTAAATTATAACTGTGAAATTTTGTTAAAATATCATTACATTTTTAATAAACTATAGAAAATGGAACACGGAAACATTTTTGTGCGCCTTATATATAAATCAGACTATGATATTTATAGTCTACATTCTGCCAAATTTTGAATATTATTTTTGGAACTGCCACTCAAGCGTAGATAGACATCATTCAACTATGAAGCGGCGTTTCTTTGTAACAAACGGTATTGTGACAAGTCGTGTACCGGGATTATATTTCCTATTTACGTACCAAGAATTATATACTGCGACTCAATACGCCTGACTCACTGAACAAGAATATCCCGAGGACTTTACGAAGAATATGTTGACTTGCCTAGACTTGTAATACACGTAGGAATAAAAGGATTGAACGTCAAACCACATTCGTTGAGTCGAATGTATAGTGGAAAACTCGAGCGAGACATGCGATTGTATTCGTAATAATAAGAAGGATATGTTTCATATTTGAATGATTGGTCGTTTGTCGTTTTCATATAATAATATTTTAATGATTGGAGAGCCAAACCTACGTATAGTTTGCTCTTACATAAAATTTAATGTTAATACTTGCTTTAGAAGGAAAAAATATGAATTAAGAATAATTTTAAATTTTGTTACTGACGTAACTTAATCCCTCTACGCGAGACACAATGTATTTTCTATTGTGTCTCATATACATTCTAGCGGTTAAAAAGTCTTCAAGTTAGCATTTTGCAAACTAAATTTATTCTACTCACAACCCCCCTGTCAAATACTGACATGACTTCAAAGTTTTATGTGCAACGTGCACTGAGAAGGTACAAGAAGGCACTAATATAATTTTCTCCCCTATTTAAGATATAGAGAGGAACGCATCGCACGCGCTCGCATCGCACGCGCAACGCATTTGTAAACTGTGCAGCGTTCTTATTTCAAAGTACAAAGATAATTAGATTTCGCGAATAGTAACATAGTAAGCATGTTGAAGATTGTAATACGTGGATGGAATGTGAAACGTTGCATGCGTGATAATATAAACTATTTTTCTTTGCTCCAATGCAGAATAATATAATTTGAGATATAAAAGTAATACAATTTTAGTTCCATTGGCAGTATTTATTATTTTGTTTGAATATTAAAGGACATGAGTTTTATTGTGTTGTGTCATGGTTGATAATCTTTAAACCAAGTAATGTAATGTTAACTAAGGAATAGACGATACACTATAATAGTATCAATATCTTATGATAGTCCACTGTTAAACTGTGGTGCTAATCCTCTACGTAAGAGAGTTATCTGCGATCTCCACGCTTGACATTCAATTATTTATCAGTTTTGCTTAACAATGAAATTGTATAATTAAAACCCCAAAACGCAGACTAAAGAGACGTCAGAGAAACTCATAAGATAGAAATTTCAAACCCGTAACGATGCATCTATTTCTTAATTACATCTCACGCGCTCACAAACGGTTCATTACGTTTTAGCTCAGAAATTCTTAGTGCATCTGACAATTTAACTAGTCGTAGTAAACGATTCAATAGATTAATCAACCAAGTGGGTTCTGTGTGTAGTATAATCGGCTTAAGATACCTGATACTGAAGCTGTGATTAATTATATTATACAGGTATTGATTAAGATAATAGTATGTAGGTTTAATAGTTAGGGTATTAGTCTAAACCACATCCCTGAGAGGCCAGAGCCATTTCAACGGAATATGCTATTGACCTAAGTACGGCTTTCAGCGCTTACGATGGATCTGTAATTGATCTAATATTCAAAGGCAAGTACCTACGTTGGTTTATAATTTAACTAACATTGCTTCAAGGGTATCCTCGAAGGCAGTATGTGCACATGTACAACGTAACACCGTCTTTTTGTCTGTTTTGTTATGAGTCTCATTAAGGCATGATGATGATGGTAATGATATTGAGAGCCATTTTATTGCCATACCGGATTGTTAGGCTGTTTGTTTAGACCACTGGCACGTTGCTGCCGCACTGCTCGAAATAGGATTTGTATAGAGCCTTACATACGACGTCGGCCGTTCAAAAACAATGAACCTATGCTGCTGCGCTGCGGCATAATGTGAACACGAGTTTTGCTGATTCTTTAACTAAAATATCTCATTAATTAAATACATATATCACATATTGCCGACGGATCATTTATTAACTGAATGAAGGAAATAAAGTAAACTATTACTCAAATACTAATATCTATCTTCTATATTAAAACTATTAATTTTACTGAAAACAATAAATTTCATAGTTTTAAATTGACCTGTATAAAACAGTCGAGGTATTTTCCGATTGGTATTTTACTGAGAATTTTTTAATCTGACGTAACTGGTGTTAATGAAAGCTGGAAGTTAATCGCCGGATTTTATTTTTTGTTAGTAAAATTTTACGTTAGATAAGTATTTTATTGTTTTGTTAGTTATCTGATACTTATATTTTGTTCTATTTGCACAAAAATATTACAATCGAATACAAGTAACGATTATGAAAAATACGTGACTAGTAAGGGCTTTCGAATTTTGATTTATGGATCGAAGGAAGTATTGTTGTGTTGATTTATTCGATTTCTCAAATACCAGTTTTTCTTAAACGAGTTTCCACTAGAATCTTAAAATCACCTATTTAATTATAATTTATGTATACAAATAATTTCTTAATTTAAAGTATAAAAACCTAAATCAAAATGTCAAAAAAGCATTTAAATATAAAACTATTCCATCTGCTGTGTTTAATATTTAAAACTGTTAAATATTTATTTCTTTTTAACCTATAAATTCGTATCAAAATTTAATTTTTATGGCTCTTGTAAAAATCGTATGATACCGACAGATGCTAGTTGTAATAAAATGTCATTTTTATGATCCGGTGATAAATAATGCTGGTGCCGATCGAAAATATATATAAAGGTCGATATTGACAAATATGTGTTACCTACTTTTAGTTAAGTATTTGTGGAAAATGCCATACAAAAATACAGGAAATTTGATTTTTTTTTCTCAATCAAAATATTGCTATACTATTACAAATAAAAAGCATAATAAAATATCATTGTTTCATATCCAATATCTAAGAATAAAAGCTCGTATTGAGTAAGTAAACAAATAAAAGCTCATGTTTACCCCTCCAATAAGAAGTATCAGTAAAAGCATACATTAAAAACACGAAGAAGACATACTAATCAAATGTACATACTATATTCCTTTTATAAATAGACAATTTTATTTACGTGCAGCGCAACCTTTAGAGAAAAAAAACTAATTAAGTTATGCTCTGGCCACTGCTACGTATGCGTAGCAGATTGCTACGAGATTGCTACGCAGCTACGATGCTACTGGACTAATAAGGATTTCTATTCTCATTTTGTAATAAATATTGATTTATTGTGTATGTATTAGTACTTGTCTAGTACTAGTAGTATTGTAGTCCTTCCCATGAGAAAAATAGGTAAGTTTAATAATGTACGAACATGCTATAATTAAAGTTTTGAAAAATATTACTTCTTCTTTCTCGTACATTTATTTACACATGACTGTTACTAAAGTTACCTAACCTCTGTCAGCGTCAGTAAACTAAAACATTATTTGTATTATTTCTAATAAGAATCAAATTAAAATTCTCTGAAATAACTTGAAAAGGTAACAAGTGTCCACTATAGTGTAACTATGCTGTAAATTAAGTAACGGGTGGGATTGTATACAATTCCAAGCTAAGAGCTATTTGGTCTCACTTAGCGGAGTAAGTATCTTACTTGTGGGGAACTAAGTTGAGGTAATTGCTGCAGTAAAATACACTTATTTCTAACTTAAGGTTGTAGAGCTTTAGAACTTTGTTTTTTTTTTTGAGGATTTTGAATCGCGTGTTTATTTTTATATTTTGTTGCTAATGTTTTTTTTTATCTGTTTGTTTGAGAAAGGAAATACTTTGTTATGTATGTAGACTGTTCTAAAAAGGATATTTGTGAATACGATTATTGACGGTATTTTTATCATAATAAGTCACTTATTACGATGTCAATAATTTTCATTCACGTGTATGTCTTTTTGATGTTAACTAAGCATATTAAAGTATTGCAGTTATACAGTATCACGACCCATTTTAGACTCAAGGAACTTGAAAACTGGGGAATGTCAAAAAAAGTACTTTTTGAAATAAAATATCTTTTTAATAAAACTTCATCTAATGGCCCCAAGTTTCGAAAGACAATACGCAGATAAGAAAAGAGTTTGTGTGATAACTCAAACATTTTCATACTTTGCTTAAGATTGCAACTGAAAAAGCCTTAATAATACTTTGCCTAACCTAAAAATCTAACTAGAGACCCCTTGCTATTACTAGTCATACTTGTAATGACTCGACCTACTATCCTTATTACCTCTATATCACTCAAGGGACAACTATAATACTTCGGGCATCAGTATTCGCTGATAAATCTTTAACCAGCAATTGCCAACCTGCATGCCAGGAGTGAAGATTAAGGCAAAACCCTCTCTTGTATAGACGGCTTATCATCTAAGTAGAAGGCTCTAACAGTCTGTTGATGATGACAACGATGAAGAAGCATGCCAGCCATCCATCCATAAACCTGTAAAGTGTTGGTACTTACCAATGCTCATCATTTCCACCAGCACTTCAAGTTGCACGATCAAGGACACGAAAGCCGCACCAATACCACCGCAAATAGTTGCGAAAGAGGGGCTGCCAGTTTTGAAGGAAACCTCAGCAAGGCGCCTAAACAAAGAGAAAATGTTGTTATTAGAAAAGAGTTATTATGAAACGTAAAAGAAAAGATGCCATATATGTATGACGGGGGAAGTGGTTCGGTATCGCTCATTGTGGGCCTCCGTGGACAGTGTTAGCACGAGAATTACACAAGGCTTCGTTTTTGCAATCGTTTTAATGTAGGTACAATCAAATAGAAATTACACAGCAGATGGAACGCGTGATAGTTTTAGTGTCGTCCGCACGGGGTGAACTCCAACCAAAAAGTGCTGCGCTAGCGGCCGCTGCCGCTGCCCCGGTCCACTGGCAATCCCCCACCCCGGTGCATTCCAACACTAACTCCATCGAACGCCACTAGATGGCGCTGGCGTCCCAAACCTGTTTCCTGATATTGCCGACACGGCCATCCTGCTATCACACGTCCTCGTGTGTTGGACCACCTGGAATACAGGAAAAGCCACAACAGTACACCATGGTTCATATAGTGAAACCCTATAGGGTAATAAAACAAACTCTATGCTCTACACTTAGTTTATTTCGAGATCTCTACAAAATCTGAATCATAAATGTCTACTACAAAATCACTATACATACACTACATATAGTATACCACAGTCAAGTACCACCCTTGTCATGACAAGTACAACTATAAGTTACAACCAGATTTACAGAAATCTCCGAGTAAAGGCCTCCAACTCCACGGCTCTCTCTCTAGCCGACCAGCAATCGCATTGCTCTCTGACTCATCTCAGTACGCATACCCATCGAATGGATCACCCGTGTACACCACCTCTGCGGTTACACGCTACGGCCTCTACAGACCACGACCTCCGCCAGAGTTGAAAGCACACCGCGCACCCACGGACTACTTGAGTTACCTCAAGAGATACCGATTTCTATCGGGCTACGACTACTAAACAACTACTGGTACGGTCGAATACATTACGGACGATAGAGTCATTCACTCGAGTTTCTCTAACCTTCTATACTTCAACATCATCAACATGATCCTCCAATACATCAATCTCGACTGGTACTTGACTTGCTGGCATTTTCCTTAACCTATCGTGAGCAAATTTGTACGTACGTTTACAATTCAAAGATTTCAGTGTGTAACGATCACCTTCCAAAACTTCCACCACTTTAAATGGTCCTCTGAATTTCGAATCTAATTTTGTCTGATTTCGCTCTTCGTTCTCTAACAACACAAAATCGCCAATTGCAAAATTATTAACTTTCGCCTTTGTTGCATCAAAACGGGACTTATCGTAATCCGCACACTTCCTAATATTGTCTGATGCTACTTTACGCATTTCGTCAATGTCAACGTCAGTCTCTACCTCATTACTACACATCAGTGATAACGGTCTTGCAACTTTACCAATAAAAAGCTCTAGAGGCGAAGCTTTTGTTGTACGGTTCATCGTACAATTTATCGCGAGCTGTACATCACCTATAGCGTCTTGCCACGATCTATTATCACTAGTCTCTATCGCAGTTAGCATAGATTTTAACACACTCATGACACGCTCCACCTGCCCGTTCGCACGAGATGAACCAGTTGCTATAAGATGCAAATTAATGTTCTTGCTCTCGCAAAAATCCCGAAAATCTCTACTTGCAAAACATCTTCCCTGATCGGCAATGATGCGACTCGGAGCACCAAATAGAGCTACACTTTGAGTAACCGCACGTATACTACTCTTAGAATCAATGTTTGTCGCATGAAACAAAAGAACGTACTTCGTAAAAGCGTCAATCAGAACAAAAATGTACTCCTTTTTATCATTTTTACCGCTAAGCTTACCCGTAGCGTCTATGTGAACCGTGTGCCATGGGATTGTCACTTTAGGGATCGGATGCAATTCTGCTTGTATCTTCCCGGAATGAGATTTTGCGACTTTACACGTGACACAGTTATCTACAAACTTTTTTACGTACTGCGACATCCCCGGAAACCAATAAAAATCGAAAAGCTTTTCAGAGGTCTTCTCAGCTCCAAGATGAACAATAGAGTCATGAAAATTGTTTACTACGGACCATCGGAGAACTCGAGGCAAGTAAGGCAAACTTTTAGACCTACCGTGACGTTGAATGATACGGTAGAATATACCCGATCGTAGTTCATACGTCTTAGCTATTTGTTCATCTAAGTTATTTTTCTCTACATCGGTCATTATTTTAGAAATCTCTACATCGCGCTGCTGTTCAGCTTGAAGCCAGTCAGGAGAGAGTTTAGCAATGTCGATACGCTTTGGCTCTATATGGGGCTCTACTAGTTTCAAATCTGCGGGTAAGGGATTTCGGGAAAAGAAATCTGTGTGACATACGTTTTCCTTCTTTGTACATCACGTCAAAATCAAAAGACTGTAAGAAAGCCCACCATCTATGAGCTCTAGGAGTTAACTCTTTCTTTGTTTGAGACGATTTTAATGAATTACAATCTGTAACTACGGTAAACTTTCTACCATGCAGGTATTGCCTAAAATGTTTAATTGAGTTTACAACTGCAAGAGTTTCGAGCTCATATGAATGGTATTTACTTTCTGCAGGGGATGTTCTCTTGCTAAAGTAGGCTACTACGCGGCGCTTACCGTCGGTCGTTATTTGAAACAAAATGGACCCATAGCCTATGCTACTCGCGTCAGTGTGGAGCTCTACTGAGAGTCCCGGATCATATATTGCCAGCAGTGGATCATTTGTCAAGATAGAGATGACCTTTTGACGAATATCCTCATGCTCTGGTTTCCAATTCAGATCACCTTTTAACGACGTTAGACGGTATAAGGGTGCCATTATTCGTGAAAAGTCTCGCACAAAGTTACGGAAATAAGAAGCTAATCCGATAAACTGTCGCAATTGAGTCACCGTTTCCGGCGGTGGAAGAGATGTCAAAGCTTCTATTTTATTACGATTAGGCTTGATCTGACCAGCCTCCACTTCAAACCCTAAACACTCTACCTTCGTCTTGAGGAAGGAGCACTTTTCAAGGTTTAAAGAAAAGCCAGCCTTTGTCAGAGACTCTAACACTGTATTAAGCCTTCCTATACCGGACTCTACATCGGGGGAAACGATTAAAACGTCATCAACGTAAACGATCACGTAGTCATAAGCTAAATCACCTAACGCATTCATAATAGCCCTTTGAAATACCGAAATTGCATTCTTAAGGCCAAACGGCATAGTTAAAAATTCAAATTGCCCCTCAGACGTTATGAAAGCAGTGCGCTCTATAGAGTCTTCACTTACAGGAATTAAATGAAACCCGCTAGCGCAATCTAACTTCGAGAAATAATTAGCCCCCTGAAGACGTGAAATTTGATCGGTGATCAACGGAAGTGGGAAACGGTCCGGGACCGTATTATTGTTAAGTTCCCGGTAGTCTATACACATACGGTCGGAACCGTCATGCTTCTTTACTAATAAGGCTGGGCTTGCAAATGGAGAACAGCTTGGTCTGATAATGTTCGCGTCTAACAGTTGCTTAACCCGGTCGCGTATAACTCTGCGTTCCTCTACCGACATTCTATAAGGACGCCGCTGTACTGTGCGATTAGGATCAATTAATCTTATTTTAAGCTCTCCGGTATTTACTCGAGTCGTTGGAAAACCCGTTATGAAAAATTCGGAAAATCGATTCAAAGTTTCTAAAAGTTTCAATTTATCACAACCGGTTATATCGATCGAGGTGTCAGACAAATTCAATTTACTCGCGTTATTGCTACTATTCACTGAATTTACGCAGAGAACTCTATCAAAAGAAATTTTAGTCGCAGTCATATTAACAGTAAAACCCTGACTTAAAATCTCGCGACCTATCATGACATTACTTTGTAAATAATTATCGGGCAAAACGTGTAATAAAATTTCCAGAGGGTGATCGTTAATAGCAACACAACACAAAATCTGTTCTGTACTGAATGCTCGTGTTTGACCAATACCAGTCATAGCGACAGTATTACTAAAACGTTTACCGCTAAATTTAACAGCAAAACTTTCTTTAACTAACGAACATTCAGCGCCAGAATCGTAAGTAAAAGTAATCAATTCACCTTTATGGTGTAATACACCCTGCGGAGGTAGAACGCTGCACACGTCCACGCGTCGCTCGCCGCGCGCTGCGCTGGCGCCGCCACTGCTGCTGCCGTCACTCGTTGCGCCGCCGCTCGTGCATCTGGCAGCGATGTGGCCCGGCTTGCCGCATTTGAAGCAAACAAACTGCCTCGCTGCTGGTTGCTGCGTCGCTTGACTCGATGTTGTAGGTGTTGATGCTCGTCCCTTCGAGTCGATGGGTTTTCCTCTGCATTCCGCTCGCTTATGACCCGCTTTTCCACAGTTGTAACACTTCAGTGGCGTAGTTTTCAGGCGTTTAGGTTCATACGAATTTGGCGAATCATCGGCACTATTTATTTTGCGTTTCAAGTGGGCGAACGCGTTTAATTCTTGTTGTAATTTCTCTCTTGACGCAATGTTAGTCGTAAACGCCATACGTTGTATTCGTGGGTCAAACTGTGATATGTGAGCGAGCACAGTAGCCACAGCTATCTCTTCTTTCTTCACATCCTTCCAGCGATTTGTTAGAGAAGCTATCAAACGGCTTGCATAAGCGGGTAACGTTTCTTTTTCTTTGGGTTTGTCATTATTAAATTTAATGAGGGTACCCGCCAAAGTTTCCGTCGAAATAAATCTTGACGTAAAAAGAATCTTGAATTCGCACCATGTCATGTTCTCGTATGCTATCTGGGACAGCCACGTGGATGCTTCACCTTTTAGCGCCTTACTCACAGCAAGCACGAGTTGACCGCCGCTTGGAGGGTTGTGGGAAAAACATAATTCTGCCGTTGCGCACCACGATCTCGCGTCCGTGTCTTCTTTAGCCGGATCAAAAGTGGGTAGTTCTACCCGAATAGGCTTGGGTGTTTGTAAAGCTTCGATCAGTGCACGCATGTTCGCATTTTGTTGCTCAAACATAGCACGCCAATGATTATCCGCATTGTTCTCATTCTGTG